AGTCAGTGTGCTAAAATTTCTTCATTTTCCTTGTTAAGAATCAGAGGTGCTAGTTTCAAATCCTTTTTAGTCTGAAATATGTATGCTAGATATTGAGTAAGGTGGTTTTATTGTTTTTTGTCACTTTGAATAATATTTCTGTTCATGTTAAAAACAAAATCAACTCTCTGTATAAATATATCAGGTGACCGTTAAGGCCCATGGGCCTCTTGTTTAACCTAAGCCATTATTTCCTAAACTTGTCTTTCCGATTAAAGAAAAAGTATAATTACTTTTTCGTATAGAGAGACCTAATATACGATAGTTGTGACGTCATTCTACTCGGTGGCATCACAATAACAATTATTGTAAACGTGGAATTTTTCGCGTTTTTGCGTCACAAAAAAAGATCAGCGCGAAAATATCCACAAGCAAATATTTGTTTAAAGATTATATGAGTTACTGAAAATTTCTGCAGGTCTATCAGTTTAAAGTATCACACTAGAAATATTTCCACACGCGAAAATTGCATCTTTTACAGTATCAAAAGTCAGGTTCAAATTATATTTGGAAATGAAAGACTCAGATTTTTCCAGTATTTTGAACACTTTCATTACATGTGGCTTCACCTCTGGTTAAATGAGATTTATTTAGTCCTACACAACCCCCTTGTTCCCCTCTATCCTGTGCACTTCGATTTTTTGATGTCGTTATATGTTACCAGTTTGGTTTATTTACAAAGTAAATTAATTGCAAAACTGTGTTCTCTTCCAAACACGTAGACGCTTCTTCATATTAGCATATATTGGAGTTTATTCGTAAGTATCAGTATAACCAGGTGAAGCCCTTATCTCCTAATCCGAAACTTTTTATCATGATAGTCTTTGACCAGTCATTGCGAGAAAAATTCTCGTTCACCTCTAAATATATAACACTTTTCAATACTTCTTACAAACTGAATGCATTGTTTGACATATTGGGTTGGTTAGCCAGTATTTTACGTTGAAGTGTTGACGCAATTTCAATGCGCACATACATGCCTACAGTATTAAATATTCATCATCATATACTTGTACACGCACCATATCCGTTTAACTCTTCTTCAACACTTTTCAAAAAACGAACACCTCAAACACACTGTATATCCATCTGTTTTTGCCATTCTGTTCCTTATGTTTTATTTAAGGCAGAATGTTATTATATTTTAACTCTTGAAATACTTATTTTCTGAGTGTTTTAAGTGTTATTGCTAATGGTTTTGTTGCTCTATAGCAGTATATGATAAGATATTACCACATGACCTCTAAATATATAGAAAATGGTGAACAGTGATAACTGTTTATGTGTGTGAACCAATAAGGTAATTTAAAGACGTGTCTCCATGTTTGCAATGAATGTGTGTATGTGTGCTGAAGGCAGTCTGTTGGTGTATTTGCCTCCTTGCGATAGCGTGGAACTGATGCCGACTTTTGAGAGCGAGTGCTTCATCACTGAAATAAGATGCCGAAGGCACCCAGCACAATATTCCACCCGGACATATTAGACTGACAACTGTTGCCATTATCCTAAATGCTGAACGTTTAGCAGGGAATAACAACTACCGTTTTTAGGACAAAATGTACCACCAACAGAATATTATTTCATACTTCTTTTTCTTTTTTTCAGGTTGTGGTAAATTGACGTATAGTTTTCGATGTAGAAGTAAGTGTTTCTGCATAAAACTATCTCTTTTATAAGTTTTGTTAATGTTATTAAAATGTAGCTTTAATTTCTAGGATATCTCTGATGAAAGGGCATTCTGGCTTAAATCTAAAAAAAAAATACCTCTATGATGTTTTATCACTTGTTCATTTAAGCTTTTGTAATTTTTTCATCAACTGAATAACTACGATTCATTTTAATCTTAAACTTTACTGTAAAACACGAAATGTTCGTGGGTACTTTCCTTCGTGGTTTTTAAGCCTTTAAGATAGTTTCGTGGTACAAACTTTCGTGGATAGCCTATGTTAACAAACAGTAGACACGTATATCATTCAAATTCGTTGTATTTATTTTCGTGTTTCAATGTACACAACGAACATTTCATGTTATACAGTATGTAGTTCAATCACTTAAGGAATGTACAACCGCTGTAATGCAATTAATTGCAATTGTAATTGTAAAGTATTTGTTGAATGAATTAAAAATTGAAAACTAAACATTCCTTGTTCTTACCTCCATTTATTACTGAAACGTTCGTTCCATCCGTGTGAAGGCATCTAGTTAGATCCGAAATCAAATGAAACATTTCACATGTGTCGTATGAATTTACACAAAACTCTTCACATATCTATACAAATAATCACCAATTTTGTCGATAAACACAGATTGGTATGCATACTGACCTGGAAATGTAAGAATTTGGTCAATATTAATCCAAATGTATCGTATAAACTTTGGTAACAGGACGTAAACGAGCAATCCAAAATGAAAATGTATTTCCATTCAAATCAATTTCCAATCCAAAAATAAATTACCTTCCTTGATTTTTCAGCATCTGGCTAATTCAAAGCATTCTTATCATTCTACCCCTTTTGGTTTGAGGAAAGAGTAGGTATGGTGTATGAAACTGCATATGTTAAGAATTAAAAAACATGCTATTTTTATTCATATTTCTATGAAATTTATTTGTTTAAAATTATATTCACCAAGACGCACTTCAGCCATTCATTCATCTCTCATTCCATTCAACTCTTCAATCATACATGTCATATTTGTATTTTGTAGAAAATAAGCCATGGACTTGGAAACAATATGTCAACTTTTTCAACCCTACAGCAAACAAAATTGCAACTTTATCGGCATCTACATTTCACCAGGATTATAAACAGAGTACCGAAATAATCACAGGTAAACCTTACAACCAAGAGGATGATAAATTATTTTTTATTATTTTAATTTTTTCTCAGCAAAGACTAGAAATGGAGGCTGCCTGGTTTGAGAAGTCACGGGTTCATCTCCGAAAAGGAATTTAATTTTAAATCTTTTCTTAATAACTCAATCAAAAAAGGCATAACGATATCAAGTCTACCAGTATCCCTAAATTCCTGATACATCTCGACTGGCATACCAAGTCAAGTCTTTTTTACTCTAACTGCTTTATTTTGTCCTATGAATACCATATACATGAATACACACAGTGTGGCATCATGGTTTTGATTGAATATGAAACTAAAGACTACTTTTAATGATTTGTTTCTTGATCAATTTTGTCTATATTCCAAACAAACAATAAAAATCTATCAAACAAAGGTGTGATTCAGTAGAGCTGTTCGTAGTTTAATAATTTTAAGATATATCAAGTTAGCAATTTTCCTTCATGATATATTATAATAGCATCAAACTCATTTTAACATAGATATGATATAGACATAGCTTACAAAGTACCAAAATCGCCACAGGTATGCGTTACAACAACGAGGGTGATCCAAGGACTCGCACAACTAAATAATTAACTACTTGTTATTTTGCATTCAAACTTGACATGACAAAAGAATCTGTACAATTTTTCCTCTGTCGGACCAAGGAAGAGTAGGAGCCTTCTAAAGTTATCTGAAATTTGTTTATATTTGAAGTTCAACGCTGCTAGTGATAAATGGCTAGATTTATGAAATCATACCTCACAACGGCTGCTAAATTCGTTTTTGACAGGTCGAATGGCATATAAAAGTGCCACAGCCTTTTATTGTTGAAAAACGGAAGTTTACAACCCAAACCGGTGAAGTTGGAAGGAAACACCATCTTACTTGTTATCCCTTTATAATTCCGCCATCAGATATCGAAAACTGAAATTCCACTTTTGTTCCAAAGTTGATTACCTGAAGATTTCTTTTGATAAGACGTCTGACAACAATTACACAATTAAATAACTCACAGGCACTGTTTCAAACCGGAATATAGTTTAGGTAAGGATAACAATCGTATGATGAAACATTTGCTGATTGGCTTTAGTTGCTCGAGTCCTAGAGCAACCACTTAACTATTGATATTAATTGATCATCTGATCGTCATATCGTTATTGATAATCTGATGAAAAGGGCCATGATAATATCATAACTCTGATAACATTGTAATTATACAATATTTTATAAACTTTACATTTTACATGTAATATTTTCAGTATTATATATTGTATATATAACATTTTTTTATAAATCCAGGAGAGGCTTCTCCCTCTAATTTGTGGGACAATCGGTGGTGGTGGAATTATGAAGTGAATCAGTACGATACCGAACCTCCGGCTCTGACAAACGCCAACTACCTACGTCGCTTCCTGCCAAATCTAAAGATGATCATTATTCTACGTAATCCTGTAGCTAGGTAACCAATCAACCGTTACATGGATTCCTGCTCAAAATCACACTTGTGGACATTTACACAAAACAAAATTTCCCCAATCAAACAAACATTCCTATATTTGATAACATGAGAGGAAAGGTAATATTGATTGAATGATGTTATTTTTCACAAAATACTATGGGTCTTTTTCTTTTCTTTTCAGGCTCTATTCTGACTATACTTATATAAGCACAGGAATTCTCTCGCCAGAACGTTTCCATCAAGAAGTATTAAGAGAAATAAGTGCTTTCAGGGATTGTAACCGATACCATGATATTCGTTTTTGTGTGTACCATAACTCTTTCAATGAGGCAAGTATATTTTCAATACAGTTTAACCAATCTTATTCAAGGAGGCAACTCCTTCATAACACATGATTACATTTTACGAATGAAAAGCAACTTTATTGCGATGCTTGTGACAAACCATTAACTGTCAAACATTTTATGATCGAATGCAAGGATAGTATGTACATATAAAAGATTGAACGATAGGCTAAGTCTATAGCGATTCTCTCAAAGTTAATAAAATTCCCTAACGGAAACCTTTAGTTTTTCTGATAATGAATATGCATTAAAGTAGTATAGAGATGACTAGTATAGATAAGGAATTGCCTTAATTTTTAACATGTTCCTGTATGTATTTTAAAGTCTGATGTGTCAAGTACGGCACGGCTCCATAATGGATTCTACGCATCATTCATCGAAGAATATATGAAGTGTTTTCCACGAGATCAATTTCATATTTTACGCTTGGAAGATTACTCTGAGAACAAGGTCGAGGAAATGAGAAAGGTGTTTCAGTTTCTAAATCTACGTAAGTATCATAAGTAATATTTCGCATCCTCGGGCGCATCCTAGGGGAAATATTCCATATCACTTTAAATAAATTTTATGAAACCGGTGTATCTATCATTGTCTGTCTCCTATTGCTTCTCATTTATGCCAGCAGCAACTTTTGATGAATAAATCAATAATAACTTTTTGACCGACTAGACAAAAAAGAATATTCAGTTATAACCAGCTTCCTAAATAAGCATAAAAACTAATTCGAATAACATAATGAAGTATTGAATAAATTCATTAGATTATTTGGATGTATTGGTATCGTCGAAATACCTGTGATAAAAATCAGGAAGGAGTATTTGTTTTTACAAAGATTTAAATAGCTGGTATCATAAACCAAGCAGAAGACGCTTATCTTTCCGTAACACCTGGTCTTATTCTCCTTGTTTTTGTTTCAAGCGTCCCCAAGTGAATACTGCCTTTGTCAATAATTTACCCTTGTTTTATCGAATCTGAGGTTGAATTGCGGTTTTGTTAACTTTCCGGTATTCTCTTGTTTTTACTTTTTATATAATCATTTATATTTATTAATTAGGTGACGTGGAAGTACCACATACAAAAACACGTAGAAACAAAGGGAGGAAAAACACAAGAGACATGCTACCAGAAACTAGGAATGTATTAACGAAATTCTATCAACCTTATACGGATCACCTGGCCGATCTACTGAGGGACGAGAGATTTCTCTGGCGTCAATAATTTCATATTTTTCTGTGCATCATATTGTGCTATTTCACAAATTGCAATCTAAGTGCTTAATGGAGGTCAGAGTTCACGTTGTAGTGATCTTTGTATCATGGTTTGAGTGAGCGAAGGAGTGAACGAGTGAATGGCCGGCAACATGTCACGTTTTAGAGGCCTTTGTTGCAAGATTCAAATATTGAACAGTGGCCGTGTTCTAGTGAGGCGATGAGTAAGTTAGTAAAACATTGAGCTAGTGAGTCGGGGAGTGAATGAAACAGTCAGTGAGTGAGTCGACGGGATATTGAGTCACGAGAGAATGAGTGAGTGAGTGAGTGTGTGGGTAATAAACAAATAACGAAAATTAATGAAAATCAATAAAAGGGTGTGATTTATTTCATTATTTTAGCAAATATCTGGAAACCAGAGTTAATCCAACATCAAATGGTTACAAAAACTTCGACATGCCGAAGTTTTACTAAATACCTACAACTCTCGTCATTACACATTCAAATTATGCTTTCAACAATTTTTCAAAGTTAAATTTATTGTTTATAAATTTATCAGCAAAAAGAACAATATTTTGATTTTACTGATTTCATTGATATTTTGTTTTTTACCTGGAACGTGTTTATTGCATTTTTAAACAAATCAGATTAATGGATTTAATTTTGTAAAAATCGCGAATGCCCCACAATTTATTAATGGAGATACCTCGCAAATGATTTGCACATTTGGTAAGAAAGTGTAACGCCAAACAAATGTATCACATTGTTAAATAATCGATGTTCTCAATCTGTTCGCATGGAATATATATTTAGTCACAAGAAGTGGCAAGCATAAATGATATCAATCAATACATTTAGAAAAGAAATGTTCATTTACAGGTGGTTCGTGAAACTAACAGCTCAGATATTCTTTTAATACGAAAACAAAATCAAACTATCTTTTGTTAAATAGCGAAAATAAGCAACTTTACTGAGTAGTTACTAAAGCTTGATATGAGTTTGGTTCATCTGGAGAACTTAAGCATTCAGTTTCGTAACAATACTTACTACGTCCTTTTTCAGTGCCTCTGTTTAGACAACCCAATATTCTCCTAATTGTAGGAGATTTATCTATCACACACTCAAGGTAGAGGAAGAGTCTATTAATCTCCCTTGGTCATATCTGTAAAATGATAATAATTTCTCTCCCATCCTCAAAATGCAATGTTTAAAAACAATAGTTTACAGCTTTTGTAATATTTTTTGTTATCCTGGCTTGAACATGACCTCTCCCGTCGAGAGTATTGTTTCTTTTTTACGAGCTATCTGCTATACCCTTGGGGTTTGACAGAGAAATCTTGTGAAAGATGGGAGATAAATTGAGTATTTTACATTAGCGGTGTACTTGTTAGAAACATGTTTGTGTGCATCTTGAAATATAGGTGATCAGTTTGAAATATAAATATATTATAACCGATAAAACTACAGTCCATACCCTGTGTCCAGAGGCCGAACAGGACGGTCCGACCGTGAAAAATAACCTCGAGTGACGTCTTACCTTTGTACTGGCTAAAGTTGTTAGGTCAATACTTCCATCCCTCTCACCGGAAAATGGTCGGTCGTACAAAAACAGATGTAGGTGTATTTTGCGGTACTTGAGTATCGAGTGTGAAGAAATAGGTTATAAAAATAACAGAAAATAATTACTTTTTTATGGCATGAAGGGAAATGCTTTTCATACAAAAAGGATAAAATGTTTTTTTTGTCACCAGAAATTATCAAAATTTAAGAAAGAAAAAAAAGTATTTGAACGTGAAACAAGGCTTAAGGAACTCTGACCCACTGCACTGTGGTTTTCCGTATATACACTGGCCTGTCCTTTATTTCGTTCTGGATATAACTGAAGCACATTTGGGGCTGGGCTCACCACCGTTGACTATGTAGCTCAGTCGGTTAGAGAAGTAGTATAACAATCTGAGGTCTAGGATTAGAATCCCAGTTTAGTCCGGCTAAAACTTTACGCTGTCATTGATTAATCTATATTGTTTCTTCATAAAAGTCTCGCAGTGTATGGTTTTCTTTAAAGAAATGATTTATCAAATCTTTACTCAAGCCAGAAAACCATTTTCCGGTACATAGTTACAGTTTTTGGCAGTGTTGCGTGGCACCTTAACATCATTTAAAGAATCTGTATGCTATCACCGGTCTAACTGACATGAAAAAAAATATCCCCTTATAATTTAAATACTAAATAACAAGAAATATTCATGTGTACTGTCTTTCGTGGTTTGAAGCTTTCAAATTATTTCTTGGGTACAAACTTTCATGATTTGCCCGTACGAAATGTATCAATTTTCGTTGTTAGCCACGTACAACGAAATGTATCCACCTTTCCGAGAGTCATCGGTCCAACACCGTAACACATTTGCGGTATGTTTTAAAATGACACTCATCGTACTTCTCTGTTCATTTCAAACAATTAAAATAATTATCACGCAGGTAAAGTGAATATAACTGAGCTAGGTGGGTTGACATCATTCTAAGAAAACACTGACCTGTTCTCGCGATGCCCTTTAGGCCTACCGTTTCACTTGATTGGTCACATATTTAATTAATCAATAATAAATGCTATTTATACAGCAGATTGATAACACATGTCTATTTCAGTAAAAACATTCCTATATTTTAAATGAATTGTTCAAGAATCTTAAAATATTCGTTTGTGAATCGCTGTGTAAATTGCACATGTAAATGTGAAATCGGTATATAAACTAGAATAGAAACACGGTCTGATAGAATCCGAATTTTGTCGCGAAAATGCGTACATTTTAAAACTACAATTAGTTCATATAATTCTCACATTCTCGTTGTATATATTCTTTCGAGTAGTAGAAATATTCGTTGTATTTATTATCGTGGTTGCGACGCAACCACGAAATGAACGAAAGATTCTACACAGGGAATATTTCATGTTATGCAGTAAATCCTATTGAAGGACTGGGTGTTAACACGTATTGACAGTTTAAAACAAAAATTAGTATCAATATCTAATTATTTACCAATACATCACCACCAAAAAATCGTCAAAAGGAAGATTCAATCCCTAAATTATATATAGTGCAACATTATCATATACATGAACTTACATGTACGTATCAGAAGGTGCTCATCACATTCTCCCAGCAATCTTTATACAATATTTATCTAAATCAAACCTAGCGAAGCAACTCTCTTCTTTATTGCTAAATATATATATATATATATATATCCCCAGGTTGAAAATATCTTCATTTTTAGTTGTAAGCAACTGAATGTGTAACAAATAAGAAAAATGTATATATAAAGAAAACAGTATGTGTCGATAATGTTTCTAAATCAAACCTAGCGAAGCATCTCTCTTCTTCCTAA